GCTGGGGATGTACACCTGTGGAGGTTTCCTGGTGGCTCCTGACTGGGTGATGACAGCCGCACACTGCATGGGGTGAGTACTTCATACAGGGGCTTCATCGCCTTCTCCCTCCTCTGACCTGTGAGGTCCATTGCTGGAGGAATTTTGGAGAAGGCTTCTCTTCCTCTGGTGCTGAGCAGCTCTCTCCACCTGCCTGCAAAAGGGGAGGGACGCGGGCGACACCCAACCTGTTTTTCCCCTTCTCCCCTCTGCTGCACGGCCAGGAATATCACAGTCATCCTGGGGGCTCACAACATCAACGAACCCGAAATGACCCAGCAGATCCGGGGAATTCTCAGCTACCACCAGCACCCGGAATACGACCCCAACACCCTGTCTAACGACATCATGCTGCTCAAGGCAAGGCAGTCCTGCGGCAGGCAGCGGGCCGGAGGGACGAGCGGGGCTGTGGGTCTAGCAGGGTCTGGGCAGAGCACGTTCCAGCTGATAGCTCCTTCTGCAAACCATCAGCTGCTTCTGCCCACCAGTGCTGGGGGCAGGCAAGAATGGCAGGGACCTGGGAGGGAACCGTGGGAAGGGCTTGGGAGCCTCCACGTGCTATTCGCAGCAACTCACCAGAGCTTGCAGTGCTGTATGTCCTTCTAGACCTCCCGTACCTCTGCACACAAAGTGTCCTTCAGCTGTTCTGCTCACAGCCTTCTCCAAAACCTTTGCTTTCTCCCAGCTGACAGCGAAGGCCACTCTCAATGACTACGTCAAGACCATTCGACTGCCCAAGACCCACAGCGACCTGCCGACGGGCACCAAGTGCAGTGTAGCCGGGTGGGGCCGGATCGACGATGACCACGCCACCAACAAGCTCTTTGAAGCCAAAATCTCCATCTACAGCCGCAGGAAATGCATCCTCTTCTATCCGCATCTCGATGCTGGCATGGTCTGTGCCGGCAGCTTCCACGAGCTCAAGGATTCCAGCCAGGTATGGGGCTGCCAGCGGGCTGGGGCAGGCAGGCTGCTGGTAGCAGGGGCTGCTGCTGGCACAGACTTACCCAGTTCCCAGGAGAGGTGAGAAGCATTTAATTTGTAGCTTCCATGTAGACTAGCTCTCTGCATGCCCTGACACCATGGCCCAGGCGCAGTCCCAGGGCAGAGCCCCGGATCTCCTGCTCCAGCACAGCGGGACGTGGGGCAGGAGCAGGGCTGCAGATGGAGCAGACGTAGCCCTGCCGCAGTGCCTGGGCAGGGAAGGACCAAGGGGAAACCTCTTCCCACAGGGAACAAGCCTCTCCAACCAGTCTCTCATCTTTCTGTCCTCAGGGAGATTCCGGAGGGCCCCTGGTATGCAATAAGGTGGCACAAGGCATTGTTTCCTTTGGGTATGACACCCCCCCTGGGGTCTACACCCGTATCACCAACTACCTGCACTGGATCAAAAAAACCCTGAGGAAGTAGCAGCAGCGGCACTTGCTCCAGCATCGGTGCAGCCCTGGAGTCTGCACTGGCTTCCTTCCTGCCCCTGCTGAAGGCTTGGCTCCTTCCTCTCTCCTTGGGAACCTCAGTGACCTGATTGGTGCACGCAGGGGTCCCCTTCTTTCTGTTCTGAGGCTGCTGGCTGGTCCAACCC